TAAAAAAAAACTTGGTCCACACAAAAATATCAAGCGATTAATAAAGATTATGAGGGTTTGTGGATCAACTTTACAACATACGTTTATTAATGTTTCAGTTGAATCCATCCTGATATTTACAGCTGTAACTTGTGTTTTTCTTCCCCACCCTTAAAATGAACTGTAACCCCTTTACCATCAGACAAGAGGGTTCAGCACTGGCCCATGATGTCCTCTCCCTTCCCTACTCTGGCTATCAGCTGCCTGTACTTGATCTTCCTGTGGGCAGGACCTAAATACATGCAAGATCGCCAGCCCTACACACTCAGGAAGACCCTCATAGTCTACAACTTCAGCATGGTGGTCCTCAACTTCTACATCGCCAAAGAGGTGAGTGCCATTGTAGCCTTTGAAGGACAGATCATAGCTTAAAGTGGAGACACTAGATGCTTAAAAGAGCCACGATATGGGGCTTGGCAGATTCTGGGCAGAATCTAAATTGAAAATACATTTTTTATCCATCAAACTTACAAACAAACATAAAAAAATACTTTACAAAGCACTATATATTTTGTATATACATGAAATATACCTTAGAGCTTGTTAAAGGAAATGGATGTATGACACAGATTCTGCAGGTCTGTGAATTCAGTTTCCAGCTTTAAAGATTGTGGATCTAATCAAATGAACATTTTATTTCTTTCCCTAATAAAGAGAAAATATTTCAACTTAATCTTACTGTCAAATAACCATTATTTGCACAAGTCAGAAGCGGCTGCAGTATTTTGTGGCTACCTTTTTTGATGTTAGCAATAATGCTCATATAACATGTTTGCAGTGAAGCCCACAGCATGAACATCTGTCACTGAATGCACCAAATAACAGCATTTCAGTCCGCTCAGAGTTTTCAAAACTCTTACCTGAGGGGGTTTAATGTAGCTTCCTTGATCACCCATTTTCTCTTGTAACTCCATCACATGGACTGAACTGCCTTTACTCCCTACTAGAAGAACCCGGAGGGCAGCCAGTAAGATTAGTGTGGAAACCTTTGTATTGAATAAATAAAGACATATTTTATTTGGTGCGTCAACTAGAAGCATAAAACGTAGGAGAAATTAGATTTTTGGATATACATATTTTTTAACTTTCTATGTGACTTTAAATGAGTAGGCATCATATTTAGTAATTTACATTACCAAAGTCTTGTATTGTATACATGGCAATGCATCTGCAAAACATGTTCAATTCTACAAGAAAAGAAAGTGGGGAGATTCATGTGAATTATACGAGCACATAGTCTCTTTCACTAATTTGATCTTTTTGAGTCAAATTTGTGTCTGCTTACATTCTTCATGTATTTTTGGATAAACTGAAGGTCCTA